AAACGTGAGCTGCTGCTGAAAGCTGCCGTTCTGTTGCTGTGATAAAAACCTCATGTAAATTATACTCTGATACATTAGCTCGTCTGTAAACATATTCTCTTCCTCAGGTCGGTTTCGCCTGGTCGCCATGACTACGGTCAACATGGGAGTTCGGGGGGGGGGGGGGAGTGGCAGAGAGAACTCCCATGATTCCCAGCCAGTCTCGATGTCATCTTTTGTTATTGTTTTGTTTGAGAGCCCCCTGGTGGTGGAGTTTACAAACTGTGCATTTAAAGTTATAAGGGCAGGTAAACCGAAGAGGACAATAATATAACAGAAACATTTTGGATGTTAACATGCAGTTTACGACTTCTTGTTTGAACTTGAACATTTCCCTTTTTACTGTAGCTGAGTGCATAAAGGATTATAACTGACCTTTGAGGAACCCTAACACTCTGTTGATTCATTAAGAATAGATACGGCCGCTAATAGCTGCATAAGTTGAGCATCATTTGCGCCCTCACAAAGCTGAGTCACAAAGCATGATCATGCAAACGCTCCCGAGTGCAGAGGCAGCCCGGAAGAAACGCGAGGTGACCACGACGCCTTACTTCTGTTGTTTCCGAGAACAGCTCTTTAAGAGATAAAAAAAAAAAAAAACACTTCACTAATCTGGTAAAGCTTTTAAGAGACTCTTTGTCGCTCTGATTGTTTTTCTTTGTAGTGAGTTCAACCCTTGATTTGATATGTGAAATGAAACTGATGGAAGAGAAACTGTAATAAACAATAATGATCCTCCATAAAGCACTGATGCCTTAAATCTTACACAACCTTATATGTGACAGAGAAAATCATACACATTTCTCCTCTCAGAGAATCACAAAGATGAAAGCGTTCATATCAAAAAGGAAATTTGGACTGGAGCTGAAAATCCCCGGCTCTACAGATTGTCGGGGTTTGGGGCCTCTTTTGGCCTTTTATTGTATTTATTTTTAATAAAACTCCCATTTCATACAGATCCCAGCCAGCCGCTGTTGAAAGCAGAACATTTTCTGAAACCTAATATTGGCAGCTGGGCCTCGAGTGAAGAAAAAAAAAAAAAGAGACCTGACGATGCAGCCTCACAGTGAGGGAGGGGAGAGAAAGAGAGCGAGAGATGTGCCAAGAGAGCGAGAGAAAATGGAGGCAGCAAAACGGAGGATTGGGTTAATCTCATCTGGAGGGAGACAGATTCATTGGTGTGGTAAAGGAGGATATGGCGGCTGAAACCTGACCTCCTGGCCAGTGCTGATGAGGCTTACGGGGCCCCTAATCCCAGGATGAGGTGTGCTGCAGGACCAGTCTCTAAAAAAGGATCTGTGGGATGTAGCCGGCCTGAAGCTTGAGACAGGCGTGATCCATTTTCTCTCCGTTCATTCTTGTTCCCCTCCCCTGTCCTCCAGATTTAGAAAAAAAGAAAGAAAAAGAAGCATGGAGGCCACCATCGCTGGCTCCCGGCCAATCAGCTGGATCCAATTCATGACTAAACAATGTTGAGAGCTTCTCCAGGCCTCGCCAAGAGGGGTTAGCATGCTATGGGGGGCATGTGTATTCCCTGGTGGAGCTGAGGAGAAATACTTCGCCTGAGTCGAGAAATAAAAAGGGGGGAATATTTTTTGGGGGGTGGGGGGGGGCAAAAATTCCTCACAGTACCAAAAATAGATGTAGAAGCTGGGGAGTGGGTACGTTAACTCAGGCTTAAACATCGCCTCACAAAACAAAAGGCTTCAGACAAAGAGAGACGCTTGAAGGCTCTGCTGCGCTCAGCTCATAAACTTGTTGGAAATGCGACGTCAGCTTCTGACAGCAGCACTTTCCGACTTCCACTACATACCTTTTACAGCATTACCACCTGACACTGATCTATGGCAGCGGTGTTTAAGAGAGCGATATGTTGATGATCATAAAGAAGGACATTATTTATTCACTCTGTTCAGAGTCGACGTGTCAGAGCTGTCAGGAAGTGGTGAAAAAGTTCACAACGATGTCTCAGATATCAGACATTTTCAAAGTGATGTCCTCAGATGTTTGTTTCATCTGAACTGAAACCAAACAGTTATTTTTTTAAATCACTGCGTTTATATAAAGTGAAAGACGTTGTTAACGATGGGAATGTTTAACCTGTTGTGAATCCTGTAAAATCGGCTTAAAGATTCACATCCAGACACATCCTGCCAGGAGACAAAAGTTCATGCTCTCCTCAAACCATATGGACTACAAGCACAAATACGGTCTCCTTTGACTGTGTAAAATTCTTCCTGGAAATCTTTAAAATGTGCAAACTGCAGTTGATATGACGCAGGGCCTTGTCACAGTGGAAAACAACCCCAAATATTTATTGAAAGATTACAGAAATACGGCAAATTTGAAGCAATCTGAGATCCTAGATGCATAAAATATGTTTTTGGATTTAATCTTACACTGGATTTAGATTCTGGGATGCAGCAGGACCACTGCCGAGGAAAGTGCAGCAAAACTTCCACTGGTGAGTCATTATCACAGACTGTAAATATGAATGTTTGAAGCCAGAGTGACGTCACCCGTCTGTTCCTGCAGGGGGCGCTGGAGTCCCATCGATGGAGGTCTCCATGCTGGAAATGCTGTCTCAGTCTAACTTTCAGTCGACCTAACGACAGGCTGAGAGCTGGAGCTGAGGCGGGTTTTAAACCTCCTGACAAACCGTTACACTGCGCCCGCCTGTCAATCAGGTCAGCTACACACTTTATTGTGAATAACTCTTATCCTTCATCAAATCAAAACTGATGAGTCATCAAAACATTCACCCCCCCCCCGTACAGTGTGTGTCGATCGAGACATGAGCTAATCAGACCTAGTTGGTTTTTGGCTGTAAACATGTTAATCTCTGCTGTAAAAACAGGCTTTTTAGAATGGGTGTGTATGTGACTTCCTGTGCTTCTGCAGCCAGCCTCTAGTGGACACTCGAGGAACTGCAGGATTTTGCACTTCAGCATCGGCTGCTTGGTCAATATGCAGCCATTTATAGTGATTTGTTTGTCGGTGGTCTGACAGCTGCGTAGATTGTGGCTGCTGTGGTTTTTACATGGTGGTGATCGCAATGAGCAGCGCTTTCAAGCGATGTTTGGCACAAGTTATACACGCAGCAGTTTACTGATCTCTAACGGGTTCTGAATTAATAAAATGAAAATGTTCACGTTGTTATTTCAAGTTTTCCAAACATGATTAACTGCTTACCAACAATGTTACTCTAAGAGTTGACATAGCGATGGTAAACTCAGAGACTATCTCTCTGAAAGACGGCCCACTAAAGAGGTAGGGATCAGGCCAGAATCAGCTCACAGAAACAACCTTGCCGCCTCTCACTGCAGCACGTCTTACATGGCAGCCGCCACATCCCCACTGCTAACTTCAATCTCACTCTCACTTCGTGCCAACACCACAAATAAGTGCTTTTAGGGGAAAGTGGGCCCTGCGCAGCTCCACAGAGCGGGCAGATAATAGCATAGCATCTGTCATTTGGAACAGGCTTTTGTCCAAAAGCATCAGGAGTTGACACGATTTCTCAAAATTGGTAGTTGCAAAGGAAATTGATCCGGCTTTACTTGAGTTACCTGGCAGTGCGAGTGCCAGCTCTTCCCGTTACAGCAGCAGGAAACCCTGATTTCATGCAGAGTTTCTGGGCAGCAGCAGCTCTCACTGAGGTCTCAGTCTTCAGCCTGTTTTTTATCAAATGGTCCAAGAACTTGACCTTTTTCTGTTTTTGTGGCTTTTGACCAACCACCTGCCAAAAGATTTAATTTAAGCCACTGCTTCTTCTTTCTTACACATTCATTTTACATTTTACATGTTGTATGCACTCTTAGTGCCAATTCTGTTATTTAATAGGACTCTATCTGATCCATTGGTCCAGGTTTTTCGCTCTTACTCGACTAGAACTTGTGAATCTTTTTGAATAAGAACATACATATAAATGTGTAGCTGAGGGCTGCAAGCTATGATTTATTTAATTGCACATACTGGCTCAGGATGGTTCACTGTGAGGCTTCATTATACACAAACTTAGTGCCTGCTGGTGGCCATCATAGACTGTATAAAAAAATGGACATCATGTCAGTGACTTTACTCATTGGTTTCTGAAGCCAAACAGTTGGGGTCAAAACCTGACCTCCGTCTCCTTTTGGATGGATCTAGAAAAAGGCGGGCTTACAGCCTCCTGGCGAACAGCTACAAAGCAGCCACATATCAGTCAACTCAACCACGCCCCTGATTACACTACTTTGTGATAACTCTTAAAATTAAAGGACATGAGCTATATGATTAATCTCTCCCTGTGCGGATCTGACCAATGAGGAAATGATTTATTCAGACCAGATTTCTTTTTGTCCCAGGCTGTAAACATGTTTATTTCAGCTGTAGAAATAAGCACTTTAACATGGACGTTAATGGGGATTCATTGGCTTTTGCAGGCAGCCTCAAGTGGACAATTGAGGAACTGCACCCCCAGAACTGAAACCCTCCTCCTCTGAAGGTCCAAAGCTTGTGAACCAGAGATCTGACGCTATCACTTCACCAGTGTCCTCCCTCTGTTTAGGCAGCTGTTGGGGCGGCAGTAGCTCAGTCTGTCGGGACTTGGGAACCAGAAAGTCGCTGGTTCAAGTCCCGAAACGGCCCAAGTCTGTAAATTGATCTGGTACCTACTCAGACACTCTGTTATGTGCAGGCCCCTCCCTCCTGTTTGTGCATGTTTGTGTGTATTTTAGCCAATGAATGTGTAGCATGACAAAGTAATTCTCTCCCTCGTGGGATTAATAAAGGACATCTTCTTGAATGAGTCACTTTTGGCGGTTGTCCCATCCTGACAAGGCCGATCCTTTTTATTCTGAGTAGACTATACTTAGAGGGGTTCACTTGTTGACCAAGTAATTGATTAATCATCTAAATGTTACATCAGACGGGTAAACAACCTCCTACAGAGCTAAACCTTGGATCTGCAGGTGACTCACTTCTTGCAGGAGCTGTAGTCAGAGCAGCGGCTCAGCGGCACCCGAATCACACAGCTGGAGAACGCCACAAACAACGCATGATGGTCCCGATCCAGCTCGAGGCCCAGCACCCTCCTGTCCTCGCCCTGCACATTGCATCTATGACACACACACACACACACACCAGGCAAGATCAGACACTTTCCATTTTGTTTCATTTTTTTGGAAATCAGCCCTGCAGACGAAAAGCACAGTCTGAGAATTATACAGGAAGTGATTCAAAAACGCCATGCAGATACACTTCACAAGCTGTGCAGGCAGAAAAACAAAAGAAGACAGAGGAAGAAGAAAAAACACACACATCCCCTCTAGCAGTACAGGGTGATGCAAAGAGTTACAATAGAACAAGACGTGGGTGGGCAGAACACGGGGGGGGGGGGGAGCACGGGAGACAAAGAAAAGATAAGACAAAGTAAAAGAGAGGCACAAAGGGAAGAGACAAAAAGAAGCAGATTCACATAACGAGAGAAAAGAGGAGAAGTAAATCAGACGTTTAAAACAACATTGTCTGACTTGTTGGGGTTGTAGACGTCGATGTCCTCCAGGACCTGGGTGTTAAAGGATGCGTTGGATCCCTCCGTGCTGGCCAGGATCTTCAGCACATGGCCGTTATCCGAGCCCAGGAAAACCACTGTGTAGTTCTTGTACGGCCCCGCAGACGTGTCCACCGCTATCTGGGTCAACTTGAATCTGTGTTTCAAGAAAACACAAACAAATAACTTCTTAAAGTAGGTGCTTTTATAATGATCCATCAACCAGTTTTATTTTATTTTAATTTTTTTTAAATGTTTCTGTGTCGATATCACCAAAAGGTTCAGCGCTTTCTGGGATTTTGTGAGCAGCTCTGAAAGTGGCGGTAATGACGGGAAGGTTTTCATCGCTGCAGACAAAAGCAGCTCGTCACACTTCACCTTCATTTTACAACACCGGAGGTTTTTTAAAATAAAATGTTTTTTTTATTATTAGTCAATTCATTGAACATGTTAAGATAATACAAACACAAAATAAAAAGTATAAGCAATAAAAAAGGAAAAACAGGAAAACAAACAGGATCCATAGCAACAATATCCTGAGAATAAACTTATATTTATAGCATTTATTTATATTTATAGCATCCCATTAATCCAGCCATCCATATATACCTAATAATTCACTTTTTTTAGTCAACATCTGTAAATTTTGTAATTACTGTACATAGCACAGACTCTTGCGCTTTCTGCTTATTTGCACTTCTGGTGAGATGCCAAACCTCATTTCGTTACTCTATACTTGTATATGTGTAATGACAATAAAGTTGAATCTCATCTCTCATCTCATCTCAAATAAATGTTAAAAAGGGATAGGAAGAAGTTAAAAACCTTCCTGGTCCTACCCCCCTCTTATTTTTGTGCATTTTTCACAGAAAAATAAAAATGTAATTTCTAATTCATCAGTGTATGATGTTGGAGTTGTTGGCCAAAACAAATTAAGTTTTTGGACAAAACAATAACAAAGTAATGGGAACAGATGAACCAAAACCATCAGGCAAGAAATAACCAAACAGAAAACAGAAAAACAGAATGTCACTGCTCCAGCTCGTATCTATTCAATATTTGACTGAGTTTTTTGTTTGTTTGAATATATTGTTGCATTTTCTCAGCTCATCATCACAGTTGTTCCACAGACTAACACCCTTAGTTGTGATACAGTGAAGCTTTGCATTAGCTCTGATTGTTGGTTTCTTGAATATACGGGTTCCTCTCAACTTGTGTTTGCTTTCTCTCGGTTGGAACAACTCCTGGATACCATGAGGCAATTGGTGTTTATTTGCTTTGTAAATGATTTGAATAGTTTTATAGTTAATCAAATCTTGAAATTTAAGTGTTCTTAGTTTAATAAATAATGGTGGTTCTCGGTGAAACTTTTAACATTTTAAATAAGCATTTCAGCGTTAGAAACGAGTGTTCAGATGTCTCCTCTCTGAATCAGAAGTGACAGTGATGTAAATCAGAGGACGCTGACACAAAGCCGAATGTGCTGGTTTAGCGTTGTGTTGTGTTGTCAGAGATGATTTCCCACGGTAAACTACAGTACAGTGGGCGCATACTGAGCTCATTGTATGAAACAGAAGAGTGATCAATCACGTCTTCCAACAACCCACCGTTCACATCCTCCATCGCCTACATCCTTTAATCCCCGCCCTCCATCCCATGAATTCATCTTCCACTCGGTCCCTCCACCTACACCCGCTCAATCCGTCCCGTTGTGGAGCGACTCTCCTCACTTAGAAATCTCCTCTAGACGCTCAGTTTGTCTTTTATTGTTTGCTTCATATGCATCCTGTCCCTGACCGGTATCAGCACGGTCTAAAGCTGGTTCCAGTGGAGCCGCGGCGGATTAAGAGCCCGTCTTGAAGGTCACCTTGAGTCTGCTGCTTGTTGACGGAATGATAAGCTTTATTCATTCTTTTTTATCTCCCTGCAGTTCCCCTCCCAGGCCGGGGGAGTTGATCAAACAAACCCCCCCACTAATAAACCTGGTAATGTATTTGGCATCACATCCCGTCTCAGATTCTTCTAGAAAAAGGAACGTCAGCGGGGAGCGTCCTGCGCCCTCAACTCCACCTACCCCCCCCCTCCCCTGGGGGTTCCACAGCGGCTGGTGTGTTTACCCCACGTGGACCTGACAGGCACGTACCGGCCATGACTTGGTAGTATGGAGTGATGCGTTCTGGTTAGATTTCATGTATCCCGCTCCTCTCCTGGGGGGAGAGGCGAGGCAGATGTGATGTGTTTGGCGCCAGATGTGAAGCGGCGCATGTTTCCCCCGGTGTGGAGCCGCAGCGGTGCCTGGCGGGCTGTCAGGCTGGCTCTGCTTCAGGAGGCATGGAGGAGCCTGTATGTGTGTGTGTGTGTGTGTGTGTGTGTGTGTGTGTGTGTGTGTGTGTGTGTGTGTGTGTGTGTAAACCTGTGATGTCTATCTGCTGTGTGTTCATCCATATCCGAGGCTTATGTGTTCCTGTCTGCAACACTTGTGACACTTATTAACGATTCACAATTCAGCACCTGATATGAGTGGATCTTCAAATGTCACAACACACACTCTCCCCCCCCCCCCCCCCCCCCCGCTCCCGTGCAGCGCATCTTCAATGTGGGCTGAAATCGAGTGCCGCACAGATCCGATGGGCTTTAATGAGGGACAGGGCTGTGTGTTCCACCTGAGCTCACTCATCGATACCAATCACAGCTCCGAGTGTGGAAACACTGCAGGAACATTATGTTGAAAATAGAAAATCATTCCTGCAACATTAAGGCCAGCTACACACGACCATTTTTAAATCTTAACCGATTTAAAAAACGTGGAATTAAAAACATGCGACGATGTTGGAAGTCCGTACTAAACCTCTCCAATTTCTTCTCCCCCAGCAGCTCTTTCAAGGAAGCAACGCCCACAAGGAAACTCACTCAAATGTCCCTGCTACTACAAACAGAGCTGGCCAATCAGAGGAGAGTGGGCACATGAGGGGGCGGGCCTTAAAGAAACAGTAACTGAAATGGAGCGTTTCAGGCAGATTCTGAAATCGAGGGGTATCACTGACACCAGTATCAGACACATAAGGAGGTTTTAGAGCGACACTTCTCACAACGCTGCTCAGAAGGTGAGCAGTGATGTCATAAACGGTGAAAGTGAGTTTATTAAATCTGCTTTAAAGCAAAGGCTTGAAGTTTTCAAGACCAAATCATTCACACCATGATGATTAGAGATATGAACACAACCGTCAGTTTGAGCTCGAGATACATTCATTGTTTATTTCATCATCATCTTTGTAAGACGGCCTGTTTGAAGTTTTTCTGATTATTGTCGATTTTTTTTAAGATTTCATGAGGACAGCTTCCTCGTTTTCTCCGAACATGAAATAAATTAAATTCATCTCAATGAGTGATTATTATTTTTTTTTGCGTAATGAACTGTCTAAGCCATTAATCAATTCTGTAATTAAATGTCTGTTGAATGACTCAGCAGCCTACAGAATGTAGGTCAGTCCAAAAGAGGGATTAGTTCAGCTCACTGACGGTGACAAGTCCGAACTTGGAGGTGTGTGGCGTCTTCGTCCTGGATGTTTTTTTTTTTACCTTTTGGTTTTTACAAAATAAAGTTAAAGATGGAGTCAGAAGTTTTATTTGCTATGAATAAAATATAGACTTATAAGAACAGCTCTGCCAATAAAAGACCTAACTAGACTCTTCTGCTCTGTCACCCCCTGGTGGTGGGACAAACTAACAAACTTCATCTGATATGAAGAGTCCCTCCGCACCTTTAAGAAAAAGCTGAAGACCCGGCTCTTTATGAACACCTACGACCTTCATGATGATGACGATGATGATGATGAGGATATTAAGGATGGTTTTAATGCTGATAACAACAACAGCTGGGGATGACGATATATAAACCTATGAATTTGTATTGAACAAACCTGCTGGTGGTGCGGGTGAAGTAGGGTCTGTCGTTGACCGAGGGCACGGACTCGTCCATGAGCGGGTATGACTTGATGAAAGTCAGGGTGTCGTCAGGGAAAGTTGTGGACGACTTGTAGGCGGCGGCTGATCCCTCGCCGGCACAGCATCCCGGCCTGTGTGACAGCAGCAGAGAGAAAAATAATTAAAGTGAAGTCAGCTCCATGTGCACAGATGTAAAAACTACTGGCAGCTGTTTGTTCTTGGGAGCGAGCAGGAGGGGGAAACAGGTGTCTTCTGTGACTGTTTTCTTTTTGTCTGTGCAGAACAATAACAGCAGCTGCAGAAAAACACATCCTCTGAAAGTGACAGTTTTCTATTTAAAGACGAGTCTCTCACCTCGGCTTGGGGACCTGCTCCTCGGGAACAGGTGTCCAGGCCGACTCGCTGTTCCTCTGCTCTTTGAACTTGCCACTGAACGCCTTCTCGATGTCGTCCATGTAGAAAGCACACACTGCCGAGCCGGTGATGCTGTGGAACGGGCAGACGAGGACATGACGTGAAAAAGAGGAAAACAAATCTGCAAATCAGCGCCTTGTCAGCCTGATAACTACTCTATCTGTGCTTTCACACATGCAGAACCCAGAACTTCCAGCTGATACATGTGGTGTGCCAGCCTCGCTACAGTACGGAGTTGTGAGACCAAGGAGTTCCCGCGGTTATTACAGAATCACTCGCTAGTTATTATGATGTATGAGGTATAAAACCGTTATAAACACATCAAAAAACACACATACGGCCATTTTTCTGAACCCTCAAAACTGAATGTTTTTATTCTGAAAATAAACAGAAATAGAAATCCTTGTGTTTCTGCTGCAGAGGCTCTGGGTTCCCATAGTTGGGATGGATCGCAGTGGCGCCAGTGGAAGCACACACGTTGAATAAAGTAAAAACCGATCAGCTTGATCGAAGACGTATCTGGTGGAATTTAAAAAAACTTCCTGAAACTTTCACGCTGAGCTGAATCTTTTATCTGACTTTACCTGCAATTTCTCCTCCTTAGTAAATTTTCCACAAGAAGTCAGGGTGAGCTGAAGTGAAAACACAGCAGAAATATTCAAGAATATTTGTTGTAAGGGAACAGGACGTGGGGGATTGTTTAAATTCTGCGACTAGTGTACAACCATGGAGTGTATTCGCACGACCGTTCTTCATGCACGAAACAAAAACAGCATCTTTATGTTTTCTGTTTGCAACACTCTGTTCTGCACTCTTTGTTGATTTAGTGAATTTCTTAAGCTACACATGAGATGAGATAAAGGCCAAAACTGTCATTATAGTGTCTGACTCTGGTCCTGATTGGGCGATTTCAGAAAGAAGACAGATGAATTCCTGTAGCAGAGTGCTTTGTTTATGATACATTTCCCAACCTCTCACACACTGTGACACCGGTCCTAACCTGTTTGCCTGTGTGGTGAAGACTCCGAGCACGGCCGGTCGGTGGTTGATCTGCAGCACGTTCGTCAGCGACTGCAGGACGTCAAAGTAGAAGAAGGAGTCGCCGGGGACGGAGCAGTTCAGCCGCGCTTTGAGGAACGACGTCCAGTAACGCTCAGCACTCTCGGTGAGCCGCCGTTGTCGTTCTTACAAACACGTGCCACTCTGGAGAAAACCACCTGAGGGCAGCAGAGAGAGGTAAATCAAAGTCAGGCAGAGCAAACGGGGAATGTTAAAGAGTAGCTTGCAGGCCTGCGGTTTGCACAGAAGGTGAAGTCATTCGACTTCATTCCTAAAGCACAGAAGACGCCACAAACCACGAGTCTGAAGAGTGTCTGAATCGAGTCCCTCACCTTGCCCAGAGTTGTGTACTCCACTGCGATCTCACTGAAGAAGAAGTACACATAGTTCCCGTACTCAATGGCGTGGAGGAAATGGGGCTCTGTGGGACACAAGGAGAGAAAATAGTCGACAAACAGGCTGGCAACGACGCCTTATTTCCAACACGACAGAGCAGAGAGAGAGCCGGCTGGAAGGCGAGCCGGTAAACACAGATGCCCAATTTGGAGAACGTGTCCAAGAGAGCGTGTGTTTTTACAGTTTTTACACCACATATCTGAATATAACCATGGGGAAAAACAACGAGGAAACAAACTTCAAATCAGAGAGAAAACATCGATTAAAACAGCCGGAGGATCTGGACCTGTGCTAATAAAAACACTCTCAGAAGGCTGAGATTCAAACGCTTCATCTGGTATCTAAATAAAGTATCACATCCATGCTATTTAAGAACTCAAAGATCTATTTAAGAAGCGTTATCAGCTTTAGTCTTAACAGAAATGGACAAATAATCAAAAAAGGACAATTAAAGAGAAACTTCAGGCATGAAATGTTGATTGAAAACACAAAAATCAAACTTTAAAGGGGACATAGTCTGAAAAATACACTTTTAGTGTTTCTGAACATTTAATTGGGTAACCGGAGTGTCTACTGACCCACAAAATGTGAAATAAACCCATCCAGTCCTTTGTTTGTGGTCTGCATAAATCTTACAACACAGAGAAAAATGCTCCGTTTCAAATGTGCTCTCCTTGTGATGTCACAGTGGGATTCTGGTTAAAACAATCTCCACCCCCAGCCTAGAACAAAACTTTTGATCAGGTCCACCATTTTTATTATCGTTAGCGAAGGAGTGATGTCTACGGGGAAAACTCAGGGGGGGGGGGTCATTGCATTTAAAGAGACACACACACTAAAACGGAGCGTTCTGAGACAGCTGGTTTATACAGGGTCACAAACCTCCTCTGGTGCTTGATTCATGTTATATTTTGACCAAAGCACAGTACAGATGTTTCATTTAGACCACAGGGGGACTGTTTAAAAAGGTGGAGAAGGGGGTCATATGTCCTCTTTAACTTCTTTTCACAAACTGAACAGTTAGAGACTCTGTGTTCAGAACTATCAGTTAATGTGCTTCCATATCATCATGTTTCAAAAATAACTGAAGTGTTTGAACAGTTATAAGATAAAGAGATGAAATCAATGAGAATCCATCAGCAGCAACATGTGATAATCTGATGGCATTTCTTAGATTTTTTCTGGTGAATAAGCGAATAAAATAAAGCCGGCTGTCATTGTTCGTCTGGTGATTCTTCTCAGCTGAAAACAAAAGGCTCAGCATGGATACACAAACAAAAGGGATTTTCTTTTCTGTCTGACATAAAGGGAAATTAAATACACAATTTGTGAGGATCTGGACACGTTTACAGAAAATAAGGAGAGTCTACACACTCCTTCTGTGACTCTGAAGAGAGACACGGGGTGATGTATTGAAACATGCTATGTTGAAGCGCTGGCTTCTCTGACAACAATGCAGCAGCCAGTATGTCCTCCTTCTAACTTTAGATTCTGGTCCTGAATGCTCTGGATTTGTTTGGACCAGAGAAGGTAGGCGGTTTTAAGACACCCCCCACACGGCCGTTTTGACGCCCCTCGGTTTGCCAGATATGAGAGCAGTTATCAGGTCAAACCAACAGGTGTTGCAGCGATGGAAAGGATCAAGCCTCGGCATTGGGAGTTTTCAAATCAAAGAAAATGTTTCCACACCTCAACAACTGCCTCCTAAAGTGTCAAAGAGGTTAACGTGACAATGACACCTTTGCATGCCGTGTGCTCACCTCGCAGCCATTTGGAGTCATACTTTACTGTACGCAGAACGGGGCTGCTCTCTCCCAGACTCCTGTAAATCACTGCGTCGCTCGCCAGGAAGTCTGTCATGGTGGCTGAGTAGAAATCACCACCTGTGAGAAAATAAAAACAGAGATGTATTGTCAGGGATCACCATCCCTCAGAAGAACTTCTGTGAAGCGTCTATTTCGGTCACAGCTGACTTTAATTGCCCTTTAAAAAATATGAGGCAGACGGTAACAGATACAGGGAAGTGTGTCGCTTTCAGTAACACCTGTGTGAACTTTGCATAAATGTCAGTGGAAAGCTGGCAGGTTTGAGGTTTCTGGCTCTCACTGCACTCGCCTCTAAAGCTGAGCCCTTCATGTTCACAGAGTATCAGCTTCCATCACGGCTATGATTAGCAAAGAAATGTTAGCACAGACCTCAACCTGTCCAGGAGCAGAGTCAGATAATACACCTTGTGATCATCAGTATGGGGGCAGATAACAAGTCGTCCAGTCGAATATTAGACAACCCAGACAGGAAGTCAGACAAGGAAACTCACAGAGCGTCCGGTCAATTTCAAAATAAAAAATACATACAGACTCCTGATCGTATGTTCCATCACTTTATCAACATGACGTCAAAACAGAATGAACAAGAAATCATCCTCAGAAAGACAAAGCAACATGTTGTTAACATGTTTTTCTCTTTATTCCTGCCGGATCTTGGAGTTCTCCGTGATCTTGTAGTTCTCTTGTGATCTTGTAGTTCTCTTGTGATCTTGTAGTTCTCCTGTGATCTTGTAGTTCTCCTGATCTTGTAGTTCTCTTGTGATCTTGTAGTTCTCCTGGATCTTGTAGTTCTCCTGTGATCTTGAAGTTCTCCTGTGATCTTGTAGTTCTCTTGTGATCTTGTAGTTCTCCTGCGATCTTGTAGTTCTCCTCTGATCTTGTAGTTCTCCTGAGATCTTGGCGTTCTCCTGTGATCTTGTAGTTCTCCTGCGATCTTGTAGTTCTCCTGTGATTTGTCTTAAGCTGCTCATGGGTGAGCTCACGTTCCAGAAACGGATCCAGTGTGGTAGGGAATGCGCCGTCTGATGCACCGTGGGCGCTGATGGACGGAGTGTGTGGGGATTGGGTGTAATTCCTAAGGGTTTTTTTTATTTGAAATGTGTGTCTGCTAAACTCTCTATTTTCTGGTTTACTGTATTCATCATCAATATTATATTTTGCATTAAATCAGATTCTGACTCGGATTCTGGTCTAACTCAGTAAACTGAAGTGACGCCTCGCTCTGCAGATTAACCACATTCAGTATTCAGTCAGAAACACTAAAACGTTTTTAATACTTACACACACACCTGTTTAAAATCTGAAATGATAAATAATGACTGAAGCTGGAAGGACACTGTGTCGGGCCGTGGGCGTTGAACCTGTGACAGTTCTGCTCTGCCTCACTCACCTGCGAAAAGGCCGACGTTGGACTGGCGGGACTCGAAGGGACATCGAGCCTGACCCACCACCTCCTCCCCCTCCTGCTCCAGTGTCGCCATCTAGGTCAGAGAGGACACGGGACAAAAGAACGCTTTAAGAGGCCATTTATAAGCTGCGATACAAAAGACAATTATAAACATCAAACCCGGGTGGTCTCTGCTGCCTCGACTGCAGAATCAGTCAGCAAACAAAAGCCTTTAATGCTGCGGGAGTTGTAGCTAAACGCGAGGGCTGCGTACCAAATCAGCCGGTGAGTATGAAAAGGTAACTGGTGCATCGTAAAGATTGGGTTTTATTTGGTGAGTTGTTTGTGGGTCGGGTACATAAAAGATGTGTGTGAAGTTTGAAGTCCCACTGTTAGGAGCGCAGAGGACAGTTTATCTCTCAGCCGCAGATATTTAGCTGCTACTTCCTGAACCGCTGTTAACAAGATTGTAAACCACAGGTAAAAAGAACATACACAGCCCTGCAGTGTGTGTGTGTGTGTGTGTGTGTGTGTGTGTGTGTGAAGGCTGAATGCATGCAGAGCAGATTCAACACCCTGTCTCGCACCAAAGGTGACAAACACACACACGTTAACAGTCCATTAACACGTGGTTGGGTTTATACGTTGCTGTTGTTTTTGTCTCTTCTGAAAACAATCAGAGAAGGCAGCTGCTGCTCTATCCGCAACCTAAAGCTTAACCTTCACAACAAACTGTTAACGAGAAGGTTGTACATGTAAGGTGTGAACAAATAAACGAAATAAAGATCGATGGAACGATAGCGTCATACTCCAGTAAAGGGCTAATTTCAAACATGCATTCCTGAACATTTCTAGAAAATGTCAGGACAGCCTGGCCCTCAAATGTTCCGGTGTGGTCCCTTACAGAGATTAGTTTTCTATGTCGGGGAGGAAGGTGATGTGAGACAGTGGGACAGTGGGAAGTTTTATATGTGCTTTGTGAGTGGGTGTTGCAATAAAGCTCAGTGGAGCCCCCGAAAAACTGTAAAAAAAAAATTAAGCCCTGGCAGCAAAATGAAATTTGGTTTGGATATCTATCATGCCTAGACCTGCAAAATAGCCTATTGGACCCATTTCAGTAACCCAACAGAAAGTCGGCCATTTTGAATTAACTGTCAATAAATATTGTTTTTGGGGGTGGGTCGATGGGGATGGGTTAGCGGGGGCATTTCCAGGGATTAAACTTTGACGTGAAAAGGACCAACATGAATCTTGGTCAGTGTTTAGAAAATAAAAAGGATGAATTGTGATCAAAATGATGTACAAAACTCAAAGGGCTTGGCGATCGTTGTCCTGCTAATTTAATGTCGCACCATGAAACAGGAAGCGGCTGTTACTCCAAGCTGTTCAAACTTGACATGTTTTTGAAGGTCACAATCTGCGCGCACAATTTCAGTTTTCTCAAAGCAGCAGTTGGACACGATTAGCCTTGTGAGACATGACTCTGTTAGTACCTGTTATGTCCAAAACAAATGATAGCTCACAACCATTTTTGATCCTGTGTCTGTTGAAGACACCTTGACTGTAGCACACTCTTCTGCTGCTGCGACATCCCGTCGTGTGCAGAGAGCCGAGGGCCTGTTCAGTGCTGTTGCAGCTCTAGTTGTTTTTTTTTGTGTTTTAAATATGGTGTGCTGAGAAACTTCAGATGAAGATTAGCTTGAAGCTAACTAAACAATAGAGCTATTTAGCAGAGTTCTGAGTTCTTCAATGAGTCTCAGGGGGTTTCACAATTCAAACAAGAACAACAAAACATCACTAAACCCCTAACATTAACATTTCTGAGTTTTAAATACAGTCAGATATTAATTCTTTCTAACCATCATCTTTTGTTACAGAAGGCACAAGTCTGTGTTTGACATTTTTATAAGCGTAGAAGAAGAAAATTCATCACTGCTTATTTCTGTCTCAAACCTGAGGGGGCTTGGTTAACGGCTGCTCTGCGTACATGTGGCGATATAATCACCAGCAGGCGGAGAAAGCAGAGTGATTCAAAACCTTGAAGGACTGCCCCGAGACATCGGTACAAAAACAAACTCAGACTTTACAAGAGTCTGTGTTTACACCTCTGAACCTGACGCAATCCGGCACAACAGCTCTGCCCTAAATATCACTTCTAGAGGTTCAGGAAGGGTTCAAGACTGAGCCTGTAGTTTCTCTTGGTGTGATGGGTTTTTGTTATTTCGTACAGGTCGACCTCCTGCACAGCAGAAACAAAGCGAATCAGTCAGGCTGTTTTCTGTGATACATGCCTTCATACATCAAAGAGCTCATGGTCTGTCATACCTCTGACATCCACAGGGCGTCTTGGTGGTTTTCAACTACCAAAAACTAGGCAAACTTCACACTTTCCATTTTTTATTCTGTTCTAAATGGGCGGCTCAGCAACATGTCCGATGTGTTCTTGGGCAAGACACTTAACCACAAGTTGTTTTTTTTTAAAGCGCTTTGAGTAGTCAGAAGACTAAAAAATAAATATAGAAGCTCAAGTCTGTTCACCATTTAAATGTGGTTAGGAATCAGGACTATTGTCCAGACTTGCGGCATGCAGAGTGACATGATCTGAAGTGAAACAACAGTTTGTTTATCCAGAGGAGAAGAGGAGCTGAGAAGTCAGATTGTTTGGCCTGCAGGATCGTTAACGCAGCGGGACGACGACGACGAACACAGATGGATTTGACGCTTCAAGGTTTTTGCCGCGACTCTAAAGGCACGTTGAAGACAGCCTTCTCTGTTGTCGCCCGGCCAGCTGTCTCAGCAGTCTGGTCAGTGAAGCTGTGTGTGTGTGTGCATCATGGCGGAGCATCCGTTTGAGTCTTTGACCAGCGCACGCACACACACACACGCACGCACGCACGCACGCACGCACGCACGCACGCACGCACGCACGCACGCACGCACGCACGCACGCACGCACGCACACGCACGCACGCACGCACGCACGCACGCACGCACGTCATTCACAGGTTGTACAGGGAGTCCCACAGACAGATCCTCTGATATGATTTACACCTCCTCCCCCTCTCTCCCCAGCTGTGTGGATAGATACTCATCGCTTCTGGGGGGGGGGGGGGGGCTGTAGTTGTGTTTGTTGTAAATCAGCCGCTCTTTACTATAGGGAGTCTGTGGCAGGGAGACACTACACATCAATCTTTCCCTTGGAGCTAACCTTTGGAAACCCTGTGAAGCCGAGCGATGACACAGGTGCAGGTTTTTCTCTGACACCTGAGACATGATCTGATCCTGGAACGGATTCAGGTTCTAATCTATAGAGAGGCTGTATTACGTTAGCTGACCCGAAGCCCCCTGAAAACCAGCCGGGGCAATAAGTCAGTACTATTGTGTTTTCACTTTTGGTAGTATCCCTAAACCCTCTGCCTTGGCCTTCTATTGGAGGGTTGAACATCTCTTAAGGACTTTGCTGAGCCAATGACAAAACAGTAGATTAAACAGTTCCCCTCTGTCGCCCCCCGGTGGTGGAACAAACTTCCAAACTCCATTTCATCTGCAGAGTCCCTTTGCACCTTTAAGAAAAAGCTAAAGACCCAGCTCTTAATGAACACCTACGACCTTAATGATGACGATGGTTTTGATATTATTGATGATGATGATGATGATGATGATGATGATGATGATGATAATGTCAATATATCCTGCAAGATGCGAAGCACCTGGGCCTATTGCTCCACCAGGGCTATAAAAACCCAACTTCCTGTTCCACCCTCTCTCTTTCTTTCTCTCCCTTATCCTGAACAACGCATTCACATTTGTTCTTTATGTTAGAGCCGGTGTAACGCCAAGAAATGCATCCCTGCAAAGAATTGCACGCACCTCATAGGACGAAGCAAAATACAACATTCTACATTTTGCATCCACCCTTAAATTTCCTCTCCGGAGACTTGAGAGTCACAGTTTGCAGGTCATATTCACGCAGGCTCTTTAAAATGCATCTTTTTACTGAGTCTCCAGAACAATGAGGACACTTATCGTTTATCAAGTACAAACTTCACATACTCTGTCATCACAGATCTGCCCCAGAAATAAGATTTATATATCGTTTTCTAACCCTTCCGCGAGGTGCATGCAATTCTTGGCAGGGATGCATTTTCTCCGCATAACACCGGGGTTATGACCGTAAACATTTAAATGATTCTGTTCTTCTCCTCGGAGACAGAGACCACTGGCTTTGCTCATACAGTAAGTCTGCACTCTGGAGAAAAAAAAAAAAAAAGGGTGAATTGTCGAGTTTTGAGTTATTCAGCTCCCCTCTCCCGCTCCCCTCCCCCACCCCCCTCTCTGACACACTGTCAGATTTACAGTCTGTGCTGTACCACTTGTACTCCCTCCTTGTGTAATGGCCGGCTGTGAATCACCAAACCTGTGATGTCACCTCCGAGGCTCCAACGCAACGTCACGTCGGCTCCAAAAGTGTACGAGCTTCACTGCTGCACGTCCTTTGACAAACGCTTTCAGTATAATATTCTCACTCAGCCAGCGGCGCTCCATGCTGCTATTCGTCACCGAAAATGAGGGTGGTCGCCATAGAGACGAGGTTGGGCCTAAAGCCTCGTGTACTGGCGGGCATGGATTTGTCTCCTCACCCTGCTCTCTCTCTCTCTCTCTACCTCTTTCTTCCTCTCATGTAACTCCTCCCTCAGTTTTGTCGGATGCCGCTCCCTCTCTCTCTCTCTTGGAACGTTTGAACTCACATGGCCAAAGTGACAGACCTGCTTCCTTCTTTATCCCTCGAGCCACACGGGGTTGTAACGGCACACTGGTATGATAGCTGTTAGTGTGATCTGCTGTCTGTAATTGAGGCCAGTGGACCGACACAGCCGTTCAGTTTCTTACCTTATAGTTACGGCAGGTGGGGTTGAAGGCGTTGGTGCCGCAGGCGAAAAGCGTCTCGTCGTTGCGCGGCACCAGCACTTTGATATAGTTGTAACATTCGTCCTGTCAGGAGGGGGGGGGGGGACAGGTTGACGTTAATGTACACACATCAAAGCAGAACACACAGCAGGCAGAGACAGTGTGCTTTCTGTTTTACAGCCATTATCATAATCCCCCAGACTGATTCCTGTTGTCTCACTGTAGCTCTGCGGAGGAACATACTGTGCCCAAAGCCCCAGCCTGTCCTCCCCTGATGGATGTGAGCCCCCGATTCTGATAAGCTAGCTGCACACCTTTGCTTATTACAAAACTTCACTGAGCAGGAAAGGAAGGCAGAGGCAAAGGAGGAGAGCCAGAGGAGCGAGGAATAAAACCAGATAGAGAGAGAGAGAGCGAGGAGAGAGAGAGAGAGGAGAGAGGGAGAGAGAGAGAGGCAGAGAGAGAGATAGAGAGCGAGAGAGAGTGAGAGAGAGAGAGGAGAGAGAGAGGAGAGAGTGAGAGAGAGGCAGGGAGAGAGAGGGAGAGAGAGAGAGAGAGAGAGAGAGGAGAGAGCGAGAGAGAGCGATAGAGAGAGAGAGAGAGAGAGAGGAGCGAGGGAGAGAGAGCGATAGAGAGAGAGAGAGGGAGAGGGAGAGAGAGAGATAGAGAGAGAGAGAGAGAGAGAGGAGAGAGGAGAGAGAGAGAGGAAGATGCATATGTGTCTGCAAGATAATACTCACGCTGTTCTTCCCTCTCACAGTGCACTTCTCCACATCCTTCGTCTTCCAAGTCAGTTTCTGAAAAGCGAAACAGACAGCCAACTGTCAGCTCAGAGACAAGCTGTTTCTCTGCATCCCAGCTTTTGTTGCTCCCAATCGTTAAAAGTGCTATCACGAGGCAGCTGTGATGCAAATCTCATTTACTTCAATAAAGACGTCGCGGAAGAAAAACAAACAAAGAAAAAATATCAGCTCGTCCGTGGGCAGTTAAACACTGCGCTCCCTTTAGAAATAAGATCCTCTCTGCAATGTAAGGATATGTGAGAACACACACATGGGGATCTAAAGAGGATGTTTGCATCACTCCACTGGTTGTATGAGGACTCAATTAGCCTTAATTAACCTCCTTGCCAGAAGCTGTGACCCTTAAGTCCACACACACACACACACACACACACACACACATACAACCCCGTCAGCGCTGGTCGTCTAGTGTGCCGTTATAGAAAAAAAGATCCATCAGCTTGTTAACAAGCTTTGCCAGCTGAAGGTTTAATGCGCTCGCTTCCTCTGTCGGATAATTTACTGGCCCGATATTTTCTCAGAGCTCGTAAATACCTCGGAGGAAGCCGGTGGTTTTTGCAGGTCCTGGGTCCTGAATCAGGTCCCGAGTCATTCAGAAGACACTTTGATCAAATAATCCAAAACAGAGCATGGACAGACGGGCTGCTCGATGTCTCTCTTAGTGACATCTCAACACTGCTATTCGCTCAGATCATTCTGCAGTCTGAGCTTCAGGCCAAACCTCGGACAGAGAGGATCTTCATGCAGACTGAGACCAGAACAGGTCTTTGAATGTGGACTCATATTACAAGCAGAAGTTTCAACCCTGAAATAATTCACCACTTCAGGATGCTGCTGCAAAGTCTTCTCACCCTCTTCCCCGGCCTGCAGACTGCCTTCAGCGTTACTTTGTATATTTTGTTGTAGACTCTCACACACACACACACACACACACACACACACACACACACACACACACACACACACACACACACACACACACACACACACACACACACACACACACACACACACACACACACACACACACACACACACACACACACACACACACACACACACACACACACACACACACACACACACACACACTGACTTCCTCTCATGCTCAACACCTTGAACTTATTTCAAACATATAATGCATATCTTTACCGTCTACATGTGGTCTCCCTATTTCGTCGCACACTGTTGAACCAGGGTGTGACAAAACAAAACATCCTGAATTCAAATTCTCCGTTTCTTTAATTTATTGTGAACGGACAGAAGTGCAAGTTACAGTTTGTTCCATTTAGTGCGAGAACGAACTGTGAGAGTTTCTGATGCATGTAGGGTATTAATCATCAAACAAAAAACAAGAGGAACACAAAATACAGAAATAAATATCTTCTCCTGATTTAGAATATATCAAATCACTAAAATGAGATGCATTGGATGAGAAGAGGCGTCAACTTTTCTTCTCCTCGCCCGCCATGCTGAGGTCTTAAATTGGACTGGAGGTGTTCTTCCCTACACCCCGACAACGAGCCCCCCCTCCCCTGTGGGACATTCTGATGCCTTATTGGAGCCGAGAGGTCACTCCGCTTAGACCGCCTGTCCCTGAAACACAATTTGTCCCACAGGCCCCTCGGTTCTCTTGTTGTCAAGGCTGCTTACCCACTTTATCACAAACCTTCAGTCCAGCAGTCAAATCACAAACTGCTGAAAACGAGCCAATGCAATCTGAGAGGAGGCTGAAACAAAACGGGCTTCTCTGACAACAATGCAGCATCCAGTATGTCCTCCTTCTAACTTTAGATTCTGGTCCTGAATGCTCTGGATTTGTTTGGACCAGAGAAGGTAGGCGGTTTTAAGGCTACCCCCACACGGCCCGTTTTGGACGCCCCTCTGTTTGCCAGATATGAGAGCAGTTATCAGGTCAAACCAACAGGTGTTGCAGCGATGGAAGCGGGCAAGAGAACTGGTTCAGATAGAAGTGATTGTACCCGACCTAAAAAGCCTCTGCATGTTTCTAATAAGCTCCACGAGCAGAAACGTGCTCAAACTAGGATCAATATTGGAGATGATTTTGAAAAATGGAGAGAGGTTAGAACGCAGAAAGGTTTACAGACTGATTCAGAGCTGGCTAAACACTGAAGCTTCAGTGTCCACCACAAGGTGACCTGCGTGAGCATCGACTTTAGAGAGCAGGAGGCGGGGGGGAGACAGCTCTCTACAATGTTTTGAATCTGGACTGCAGTACCCATTTTAAACACTAGGTGTCAGAGTTACATATCACTCCTTTAAAGAAGTAAAAGTTGAACAGTCTTTGACTCACTGGGTATCGTCTCTGATTGTAAAGGTTAGCACTTCTCCGTACAGAGCCATGCATGGCACATCTCCGGCGGGGCTTTGTGAGGATCTGACACCATCCAGCAGGAGTCAGCATTATGCTAATAGGTCCTGACTCGTCCACGCTCGATTTAGTTTACTAATAATTACTTATGGCCACCGCGGCCCAGGGAGTCGGTGAAGGGGAGAAAATGACAGAGTGGCCTGAGTGAAAAATGAAGAGCTGCTTGGAATGGATCTGTGATGAAGAAAAACGACGCACCGTTCTCTGGTGATGTGAAGCCGTCACAGACTACTGATGGAGCTCATGTAGATGGCAGGGAAAAGGAGAGGGGGAGGAATTTGATAGGAAAACCATTAAAGACTCTTCTTTGATTCTGCTATCGGTTCTCGCTGTCGGCCTGGAGGCAGCAGAAGTTTGGCTGCTGAAGAATGCATCACAAACAAACTTTCAATATCTTGTTTTTTTCTTTGAAAATACAGAAGAAATGAACAAACATCGCAGCGCTCACAAGCCCCCTTTTTCTCTGTACCACAGTCTGCACCCAAATCAATATTTGAGATCTCCTCGACATGGAGTGGCGGCCTTATCCGAGGGAATATCCGTGTTTAGCATTAATCTAAATACAAGCAAACAAAACTCCAGACCTTGGAGCGATTTTTATTTAAGTGCAATCATGTTTGACAAATGAGATTCAGATAGGAGGGAGCGTGCCACTTCAAAGGCTTCCGAGAGCCCCGCTCCACTCGTATTGGATAGATGTCTGCGGAGAGATTGCTCAGCACTTGAGTGAAAAGGCAGAGAAACGAGCAGGGCGGGAAAATAATGAGATACAGCATTTACTAGACGTGTTTTTTTCTCTGTGAAAACACAGTTTGGTTTTGATCAAAACAAGAGGTGAACTTCTGTTTGAAGTCGAGAGCTTTTTTTTAAGTGGAGGTCCCGACACCAGGGGCGCACCAAAGGGAGGGGGGGGGGGGTGCGACAGGGGGGTTGTGGACAATTGGCAGGAAGAGGGGGTGAAATGGAATAAAAATCTAAATCATTTAATAAAATTATGAGTGACGATTACATTTTAATATGTCTGTTTGGATGTTTCTAATCAGGCATATAAAAATCTGTGTGTTCATTTTATATACTAATCTTTAAATATAAAACAATGTGACACACACGGCTCCAGCCAATCAGAGTCGATGAGCCGCTATGAGTGACACAGATAAATTAAAAACGGACTACCTCGTTTTAAGATGAAATGAAGCAACATTGAGAGAGAAAAACACCAAAAAAAATATGTTGACTGTTAACACTGGTTATTGTTAAAGGAGCAATATGTAACTCTGACCCCTAGTGTTTGAAATGAGTACTGCAGTCCAAATTCAAAACATCGAAGAGAGCTGTCTCCCCTTGCCTGGTTAGCTCAATCAGCTCCCCGACAGGAAGCTCAGAGCACCAGGTGAGTGTTAGAGTTAGCATCACTACCAGGGACATTAGCAGCTAGCTCGGCCAAAGATAACACAGTTTTAGGTACTTCAGAGCGACTCCCACTAATGCTCTCACTCCTGGGATGATTGAAGACAGATGTTTGCGTTGGGTTCAGCCCCAGGATCCCAGGAGCCAACCAGAACACTGTGGACCAGTACTCAGTTAAGAGACACTTTTTTAGGAAAGGTAATACTCTGGACCCCAATATCAAACACTGAGGGAGGGGTGAGTGTGAATGGCAGCAGGGGTCGGCTGAATGTTTCCGCCATGACTCTGGACTGACTCACCTGCTGGGGGATTATCTGCTCAGATGAAGAGGCCAGATTGACAGCAAACACATGGTCCCTGCAAGAGATGGAGAGCGGAGACAGCATTAGTCCTGGATGTCTTCACTTTCTTTTTGCCAACGTCGACTCTAATCCAGGCCGTTTCACCGAAAACCTGCTTTCCAAAAACAGCTTCTTATTGGCTCAACGGGATTGATCCAAGCTGTTCGACAACAGAGCAGGAGGCGGATTAACAGGGTTAGTTTATTGGCTTCTTAACTTCATAACCTCAAAAGTTTTCCATCACTGAAAGTTTCCCCAACTTCTGACACAACCCTCATGAATCACTTTGTGCTCTCTGTTGTGCGCCGCTGTGCAAAACACTCAGTCCATTTAGGTGCATTAAGAATCCCCATACCTCTTTGGACCGGGGTTCTTGGCAGTGAGAGCACTGCGGCTTGAAGTGGAGCCAGGAACTCCAGCAGAATTTATTTTTGCACAAAGAAAATGCACAGAAGAGGTGCGACCTCGTACATTTTAGATAATTAACCCGCGACATCTTGATCGAGCGAGGTGCAACGTGCAATTAGGCTGAGAGATGCACGAGGAAAGAAGTGAAACATGAAAGCTGTTTGCTCCAAAGGTTCTGGGTTCCTTTCATAGACCAACATTTGCAAAAAAATAAATAAAAAGCGCCTGTTTCTGTCTGTGCAACCAAACCTTATTTTATTTATCACATTCTACCTCTGGATACTTTTCCCAGCATACATGTTTTTTTTTAATCCTGATTAATCTCTTGTTATTTTGTCCCTTCAGGCTCACCGTAGATAGTCGTCCTCAGTGTCTCCCTGTGGTCTCAGTGACGTAAAAGAAGGACACCGCTGCATCTTTGAATGTCTCATTTCACTTTAACAAACTCTCAGACAGCTCAGCTGACGAGTCCAAAGTAATATCCACCTTATGATATCACACATTGACTTTATGACATCACACATTGACCTTTGTTACCGTTCCTTTGAGCTGTTTGACCTCACTTTGGGATCCCTAACCATTTCCTGTTTCTGGGCTTAACTTCAAGTCCTGACCTTCCATCTACCATATGTGCCTTACTTTATTTCAGAATAAAAGCACACATGAAGTAAAGTACTCCCAGCTTCAAAAAGTATCATATTTCAAAATAAAAGCCTAACAATTTATATTTTTTTTATACAAAACAATGGACCTTCAAACATGTGATTAAAAATGTGAACAATAACGATTACGTAATAAGAGGCAGTGTCTCACATGAAAGGCTTTAAAATAATGTTATTACACACTAACACCAGAACAGTAGGAGTTGGTATGAACCCAAACAATGATGTAAAAATAAATAAAGTGGGCATATTTAAGAAGCCTTTTATCCTATGTCTGCAGTAGGGATCGATATCTTTCAGATTTTATTAATAACAACGACACTGCTTATGAACGCTGATACACATTGATTCTTTAATTGATACTACACTCCATTAATCCGTGCAAAAAATAGGTATATCAAGCAGGTGAAAATAGCTATAATATAAAGGTATCAACATTAGAAGTAAGCTATAAAAAAGTAGGAAAATGTCAGAATATCTGATACAGACAAAATTTAAAATGTTTGTTGTAACGTTGAACTAGCAGGTGAGAGTGAGGACTGACCGGGCAGCGATGTAGAGCATGTGGTTGATCCTCAGCATCCTCTGGAAGTCCAAACCCAGACGGACGGTGTCATTGTCCGACATGAGCCCCTGGAAGCTCGGGTAGAGGTAGGAGGCTGCGACAGGGAAAGAGGAGAAGAGGGGGGAAAAAAACAAGGTAAGGTTATCATCATGTTGATGCACCTTCTGTTGGTTTGTTGGGTCAGATTTTAACGCACAACACGAGTCCAAAAGCCCTCTCTACTACTCTTTGTGTATGTACCTTTAAATATGTAAATGAGCTGTGTCTGATCACGCCCCCTCTCTGGAAGGGCTTGGGTGTACTCGATGCTTTCTCTCTACATGTCCTATTGTTTACGGTGAGAAGGCAGACTCAGAGGGCAGAACAAACACCTAGCTGTGGGAGTGTCACCCACCTGGGGGAGGGGTTACTGCCCTTTGTGATGTCATGAAGGGAAAATCTTCAAACGGCCTGTTTGAGCACACATTTTCTGAAAAGTGGAACAGGGAAAAGACGGAGAGGATGGAATTTTCTCATTATTTGCGGGTTTGTGGACAGACTAGAGACACATGTTAGTGTCAGAGAAACATAATTTTGAATAATATGAGACCTTTAAGGTTAAACATTTTTTTTGGAAACTGCCCGAGTTAAAGCCAGACTAATTAGAGATCATTTAAGTATTATCTCAAACTGTTAAACACCCAGGGCCGCTCTTGGCTCGCCGTTTATCCACATCTAATCAGCTTAAAAAGAGCATTACACTGCTGCCGTTTAAGCAACACTAAACCAAGGTTATAATTCTGCCTCCTGTGCTGATCAAATATGCAGCGTTCCCCGCATGCTAATGTGCACTTGTGGAGGTGGATGAAGAAGTGGAGAAAAACAGCATCTCGAGTTGCAAAACGAGCCGTCGGTGTCACAGAAGTCAGTCTGATTTAAATAAAAGTCTCCGGGGCGAAGAGTTCAGAACTGTTCAGTCTGAGGCGTGAGCCAAATCGGGACGCTGGAAACAAAAACATGTCGTTGGAAAGTCAACCGCACGCCGTCGCCACAAAGACGGAGGTGTGTTGTTGTTAAATGTAGGTTGACCAGACAGACGTCGTGTCGTCATGCTGCGACAGAACCATCCTGAAAAACCTGCTTCACACATGAAACACTGTGTTTAAAAAAGGAAGACAGAAATATCGGTCACTGCACGCAGGACGCATTAACTGCAGAGGGAATCAGGTGTGTTGAAGGTAGGGAAAGACGTGTGTGTGAGGCAGCACAGAAAAAAGAAAAAAAACTGTCAAGAGAAGATGAACTGAGGGGAAGTGGTGCACTGAAAAAAAAGTTATATAATATCTGCCGGATGCTTGCACTTTTATTCTCCCTCTCCTCGTCTGAATCTTTTTTTTTGTCTCGCCCAAACTGAAGCTCAGTGGAGGGACATTTTAATTTAAAGAACAGGCGAGGCTGCCCAGTGCTTTAAATACCAGCACGACAGTCAGTAAGTAGATGGACAAGCTTCAGAAACATCCAATAATTTTTTTTTTTTTCTAAAAAGGATGCTCCAGGCAGAATTTAAATTGGCCGGCTCAATCCTGACATCAGGCTGTCTTCACATCAGACTTCCCCTGCTGCTTCCTCTTTTTTTTTTCTTCTTCTTCTGCAGACGGAGCCTGAGCTCAAGGCCACAGCTCTCTGGATATGTTAAGTACTGTGTTAAGTGCCCTCCAGTCTCCCATCTGACCTGTGCAGCTGCTGCTGCTGCTGAATTAGCAATCCCCGCTAGAAATGCACCACCATCTGAAATGAGTCTCTCTGCAGGGAGCCGTGCGGTCCCCCTCACCGCTGGTCTCGAATCGACTGTTTAAAGATTTAAAACACCTAACGTCTGTCTGAGTGCTGGACCTTACTGTGCGGCCTTGGTGAAGAGACTCCCGGCGGCTCATCCACCCGCCCGCCCTGTTACACTCCCTCCTGGCACATGAGGATTTCTAATTACTCCTCACCCTCTGAAGTTTAGGAGGTCAAAGCTCGAGGAAAAAAATCCAGGAGCCGGTGATGGTTTCCAGAGTTATTTAAGACCGCAGCCTCTGGGAACATGTGCACGCAGCCGGCCACAGAGTCAGACCTCATGAGGTGTATTAGCTCTGCATTAGAAAGTCATGGTTGCTGCAAACTTTTAAAAATGAAATTCAAGCCTCTTAAAGACACGGAAAAATATCAATTTATACCTCATTTACATCCTGTAGCATCTGAGCTTTTCTTTGTTTTTTGTTGTTGTTTAAAAAAAAAAAAAGACTTTATGATCCCTGAGAGGAAGATCTGATTTACACTCTGTTATTGAGAAACATACTTCTCACACACATGGGCCTGAATCACACACATGCAGAAACAGGACCTGTGGACATTCATGTCAGGGTGAGGCTGCTACAAGGGGAGCAAGCCAGAGCTGTTGGAGGTTCAGTGCTTTGCTCAAGGGCACCTCTTCAGTACTCTGGAAGTGACCTGGCACTTTCCCAGCTCCCATACCAGCTCCTGTATTATAATCCGCACCGAGACTTGAACCAGTGACCCTCCGGTTCCTGACCTGAGTCCCTACAGACTGAGCTACTTCTGCCTGTTTTGAAGGCCTCTGGGGCTTTGAGTCCAAATGTCTAAAGTTTCAAAGCTTTTTTTTGCAGATCTTGAAAGTCACCTCCTAATCAGAATTTGCTCCTGCCAACCATTCCCCGGTATTTTTTATCTTGCATCCAATTTCTTGACCTTGCATTTCCTCTCTCTTTGTTGCTGGTTTGTGAATGGGTCCTTTAATGCTCTGCTGTAAATGCGACAAATTTTCAGCTAAGGTCAGAAATGATGGCCTGAAATGGGCTCTAATTAAAGAACGGCTTTTTATTGCCACCAACAGGCTCAGATTGCTTCTCTTAGCCTGCATTCACACATAAGCTGTTTGGTCTGTTTGAAATGAACTCTAGTGCGGGCCAAAGAACCGAACTCTGGTCCGCTTAAAAACACGGGGTCTTGCTTTGCTTCCAAACGCACCAGAGTTCAGTTCGCCCTTTGGTTCAGTTCGCCGTAGGTGAAAACACTTTCCAGATCAGACAAGGAAGATGAACCAAAAAGCAATGCATTGTGGGTTGAATTTGGCCAATTTTCAAAATACCCCCCCAAAAAAAACATCAACCAGAATTTACATTACAACAGGTCAACGTCCACATGTCTGTCCGATAGGCCAGATTAACCTCACACAGCCGACATATAACTTTATCTCTGTTTCATAGGTCTAAATACTGACTGCGCCACAGGATGCTATTCTTCCACTGTCCTGTTGGGAAATTCGAGGGTCATAGTTCAGCATTCGGCCGGATGACAGCAGCCACTGACCGCAGCTACAGCCCCAACTAGTGGCTAACACGACATCTGACGGGCTTTGGTGCGCTTAACAAATTGCAGTGTGAAAGCAAACCGAACCAAATGAAAAATGCAAACAATGTTACAACTTCACCGCTGAATCCAGCAGACTTCATCTGTGAATGACACCTTAGAGTCTGCAAACAGAAATGATCCCTACAGACCTTTTTCATTGAATTAGGATCCTTTTGTTTACCAGAAACATCTGTTCAGTCAGAACGTGGAAGCAACCACACAACAAAACCAGACATTTTTAGAGTGATTGAGTAGCAGGTCAACTGCTGTCTTGATTCTAATTTTAATTTAATTTGGTGACTTTGATGGTTTTATGTCAGTTTGGTATCAATATGATATTTATGTAACAGACAATAACACATAAGAGAATTATTTAGGGCAGCAAAGGACAAGAGACTCCACTGTCCTGTGAGGTAAGATGTTTTTGTAAATGGAGTCTGACGGCTTTATCTTCCAATAAAGGGTCATGTATCAGCGTCTTCATCTGGAAGCAGCTCCAGGAAGTGAAATATCTCCAAACCTACTGAGAGCAGAGTCACAGAGAGAGACAGAGCGAAGGTGAGTCCTCTGCACACTTTCCAAGAAGAAGAAGAACTGGGCTATAATTTCATAGACTGCCCTCTGATGAAGTACGGAGATTCATAATGGATATCTCAGAGAGCTGTGCGGGACCTTTTGGTCTCTCTGTCACCTGCTGGAACCACAGGTGACAAATGACTCTCATTACACCTGGGACCGAGCTCCACATATAGCACTATTAGCACAGCTATTTCTGCTAATGGTGGCGTTACTCTCTTCCAGATAGATCAATTACAGCGCGCGGGCCGTGGTCTCAGCCACCTCTTAAATCAATTATGGGCCATTACATTTAGTACCAGGACCTCTTGTGTGGACCTCCTCCGTGATTGGGTGCCACTGACGGGTCCCCAGGGTGTTCTGAGGAAGCGCTGTCTTTAAGAGTGTCATGTTGAAGGGTGTCTGAGATCCTCCTCAGTCAAAGTCTCATCGAGTGATGTCGCATGGAGGTCATTCAAGTCTTCACAGACTGTCATGCTTTAACTGTTATGTGACTGTCATTGTTAAAAAAAAGAGGAAGAAGAAGAGTGCAAACAAGAAGGAGGAGAGGAGGAGGAGGAAGAGGAGGAGGAGGAGAGGAGGACTAAGAGGAAGAGGAGGGGGAGGATGAGTAGGAGAAGGAGGAAGAGGAAGAAGAGGAAGAGGAAGAGGAGGATGAGGAGGAGGAGGAATAGAAGGAGGAGGAGGAGAAAGAGGAGGAGGATGAGGAGGAGAGGAGGAGAAAGAGGAAGAGGAGGAGGAGGAATAGAAGGAGGAGGAGGAGGAGAAAGAGGAAGAGGAGGAGGAGGAATAGAAGGAGGAGGAGGAGGAGAAAGAGGAAGAGGAGGAGGAGGAATAGAAGGAGGAGGAGGAAGAGGAAGAAGAGGAGGAGGAATAGAAGGAGGAGGAGGAGGAGGAGGAGAAAGAGGAGGAGGAGGAGGAGGAATAGAAGGAGGAGGAGGAAGAGGAAGAAGAGGAGGAGGAATAGAAGGAGGAGGAGGAGAAAGAGGAAGAGGAGGAGGAGGAATGAATAGGGAGAGAGGATATGAAGATGAAACAAGACAGGGAAGAAGTAAAAGAAGAGAGGAGGAGGAGGACATGAAGAAGAAGCATCAGGCTCGAGCACGGTACAAAACAAACGTGCCTATAACGGCCTGACTTGACCCTGCAGCCTTCGGTCATGAGCACGGCACAGTTGAGGTGTTCCAAAAAGATGTAAAAATGTTTTCTGTAGCTTTGCTTTGAGATGTCACACGGTAATGATGTGAAATTCCTTTTTCTTAAGACTTAAAACCATGTAAATAAAGTTCATTCTCCAGTACGTTACAGGATCAAATCTTTCCTCCAATGTAAACAAACTGACTTGTGTTTGTTTCTGGTTCTTCTTCTTTGGTTTAAAAGTCACTTTTCACATCCAGCAAACAAAAACAAAACAAATCTGAGGGAAGTAATGAACCAGGCGCTGAACAAAACTCTGCAAACATGCCCTTAACCACGTCCACCTCTGTACGCCGTGCTCCCCTGCGAGGACTGATTATGCTTAAGTGACCCTCGCTTTACTTTTGCATCCTACTCCTGAAGACAAGGATCACCATGGCAACGCAAACACAATTCAAGAAACTCACTTTCTCTGCCCACGATGCTGATTGGTTCCAGGTCTTGGGGGAACGGCGTGGCTCCTGAGGAAAGCCGAGGTAAGAAGGCGGCTATGGTGAGAGCCAGGACGGCGGGCAGGACGGGCGGAGGCGAGCCGGGCGTCAGCCTCATGTTGGCAGGGGAGATGAGACCTCAGCAGAAACACATGGCCCCCTCAGCGGATTCACCTCCCACCTGAAGAGAGACACAAGGGGAGCAGGGTTTAGGGCGGGTTTCACTTTCTGCTATCACACAATGATTGGACGATGCTTTAAAGTCTTGCAGGACGTAATGTCTGATTCCAACACACTGTAAGTTCTGAGGGCCCACTGGACTGCCAAGATGCAGGAGTGCACACACACACACGCACACACACACACATACACACAGTACAATGAGTCAGAGAGAGAAGCAGACACAGTGAGGGAGGAGACCGGGAGACGAGGCGAGCCCCTAAGGGCCATGACAATCGGGATGACTGCCTCATTTATAGCCCGCCAACGTCTTTCACAGGTGACTTAGCACAATTAAACCTTCCCCTTATCAAGAAGAACACCTCGCTCCACCTGCGATAACATTCACTCGTCTGTGTGTGTGTGTGTGTGTGTGTGTGTGTGTGTGTGTGATCACTGCATGAAGGTCTTTGGTTTAAATCAGTCAGTTATGTGAGGACGCTCTCTGAAACTTCATCTGACAGTAAAAAAGGACTGAAGGTTTACAAGCCAACAAACTGCCAGATCAGGGTTCTGATGCACACTCGGGGTGTGTGGGGTAAACCGGTTTCAGTACCGCCCACGGGGATTACAACACTGGTTGTTAAAAATCTAAAAGCCACAATCACGTCGTGGGAAAAGATTGTTGACCAACACAAAATATTCCCTGCACAGTTTGTTTCACGCGGGACTCTGACCTCAGCCAGCGTTAAAGATCGGATGTCTTGTGCCGCCAGCTGACACTCAAAGCGGACTACCACAGCCGCTAACAAACGTCTTCTGACTCCACAAACGCTGGAAGGCCAGAGCCAGTGGCGATTCTGGAGTCTGTGGGGGCCCTGGGCCGAAATAAAAAGGGGGGGCCCTCCAACCAGCGTTCATCACCATCATGTCTGAGAGTGTCTCGTCGCTTACTCCTCTTCCTCTTTATTTCCAGTTTCTTTTTTCTCTCCTATAATTCCTCTATATTTGATCTGTTGACTTTCATTGAAAAACTTTGGTTTTCACAGCAATCCCTGCTGGCGTTGCAAAATGTGCACACTTTGTGCCACTGCTCTGGTTTGACTTTGTGAGCCTCCTACTGGTCTGGGGCCCCCAAGCAGTTGCCTGCCATGTCTGTTGACGAGCACCTCTAGCCAGAGCAGCGGCTTTTAACCATTAGGTAATATATGACAGTTAGTGCATCTTCCTTAAATAAAAGGTCAAACACTGAATGAAAAAAAGGCAGGTCTTTAACATGTATAGAAATTCAAGGATGCTCGTATAAAACGGTAACGATGTGATTGATAAAGAACAGTAACTGTAAATGCAAACCGTCATGAAGTCACAAAGTCGACAGAGGTTAAAAAACACAAGATTCTGTTGAGATTGAAATCTCTTTTCAAAGTCTAATATTTGAAATCTGCACTGAAACACACAGACACTGGATGCATGTGCCGAGTTAGTTTACAATTTAGAGAGTGCAGGATTTCATTGGCTTAGAAAACATTTAAAGTTCCTGCATCTGGTGGGCGCCGGTAGCCTAGTGGTTAGTCAGTGCACCCAAATGTCCGGCGGCTGTAGTCCCAGGTTTCGAATCTGACCTGTGGCTCATTTTCCTTCATGTCTTTTATCTCTCTCTCTCTCTCACCTGGATGCATTCAAAATCTGATCACCCGTTTGTTGCATCATGGTCGGACTTGAACTCCTTTTGTAAAGCCATCTTGCTCACCTCTATGGACTCAATGTCAGGGATTCAAAAAACTCACTAAATCGTTTGTCCAAAAAAAAGGGAGCGCCCTGAGAGCGGCTTACGTTCAGATTACAGTTGCCGTTGAGTGTCTACGTGGCAGTAATTAAGAGCTCTGGCTGAGACGGTGCACAAATGTTAATTTCCACATCTGTTTGATATCAGAGGGACGAGACAGTGACAGATGGGCGGCAGAGGGATTTGTCAAAACAAACTCCAACCTGTGATGACCCGTGCTCGCTGCCAGCTTATTGAGGCCAGCGTGTCCTCGGCAGGGGTCCTGGTCCGGCCATACAGGGTTGATGTAGTGTGTCGCTTGGCAGAGAGACTCGGGCCACACGGTTTTAAGTGGGAGCAGAAAATCAAGTCAACAGAGACATGAACTGTCATCAATACTGATAATAGCTCGCTCATTAAAATGCAGAGGAGAAAAGCTGCGTTTAGCGATGAGGTCAAGCGATGAGCGCAGCGCCATAAATCGAGGGCGAGTGGGCGGATGTCTGCTTGTGTTTACTCTGTGAATTACAACAGCTTGTGTGGCCTGCCTGAGGCGATGTATGAGGACGGTAGACCTGATGGATGAGCGCCGTGTGCTATGATTTGGAGGGTTTTTGTCGTCCTGCCAGTCAGGACAGTCAAATAGATGATGTCATAGCAGTATTACTACAACAGACGGACGCAAGATAGCATTTAAAAGAAGTCTGACAATGATGCCACAGAGAGGTGATGCAGGCCTTCTTTTTAGAAGCAAGCATTTTTTTAGTTCCTTTGCTCGGGTAAGGAAACTCAGTTTGTCCTGGCTTGGTTGGATACAATAAACGCTTTATGCAGCGAACTTTAGATATCTCCAGCGCTTTCTTCTCTTGTGCCATCTTTGGAATTTATCCACTGAGGAATTATGACTGTCAGAAAAGAATTTCACTGACACGACAGTCAACACACAGGCATCTTGATGTCTCTTTATGACCCAGCAAAGCAAACAAAAGTTTTCCTATCTTTCTTAAGTGATCGTTATCTTTAGTGTATGACACCACCGCCCCGCTGGGTAGGAGACGAAGCCTTGTCCTTCCTTTTACTCTGCAAAGTTTGTCGATGAGTGTGTCCATTTGTTTGACTGTTATTGCTGGTTTTCTCATGAAACCCCCGGTTAAATTCTCGAAAACGATTGATATGAACTTATCTCAGGAAAACCAGAAGTTCTAACCCAAGAAATTATTTGAGATCTTGAAAAAAGAGGACAGAATTTGCTTGTAATCAAAGGCAAATGGATCCAGTTGAAATGGTGGAATGCATGTCCTGTTTGGGCTTCCGTGGAAAACTTTGACTCATGTTTTACTTTTAAAACATCTGGATCATGAAGGTTGGCAAAGGAGTTTATACCAAACTGGATTTAAAAAAAAAAGGATTGAAAAGAAAGAGGTTGGCAATAAACCAACAGAGTTAGGTATGGTCTTTATGGAGTCTGACATATAAAATATGAACATAAATACTGATGTGAATATGTGCAGACAACCACAGAGCAACATGAGCAGAACACAGATGGGACATTTCATGCCTGTGAGGGAGGAAGGAAGGGAGGCAGAGATCATTAATTGTCAACCTGGGTAGTTAACTGAAGGAAGGCAGCCAGCAGAGTGATGATGATGATGATGCAAAACAAGACAACCATAGTGATTACAAGAGCTTATGCAACACCAGTCATACACCCTGAAACTCAAGCTAACACTTCTACTAAGAGCCAGAGTGCATAATGTAGTTTCCTACCAGCTGTATCTTCAGCCTGAACAGCTTTTACTACATGTACCACGTCTGGCTTCAGCTGCAGGGTAACGCTCTGTGACAGGAAGAGGGCTCTGCCTCCAGGCCGTATTAAACTCAGGATTAAAGAATGGATCGCCCAATCATTGCAACACTTACAGAAGCGTGTTAGTAAGCCGTACAGTCAACGCACACACAGACGAGCACGCAATCATGGGCTGTAATAATAAACACGCCGGTTGCTGTAGAACCAGTTTGTCTGAACTCCAACGGCCCCGAGACTTTTTCCACAGGGTGTCTGCTCAGAGGCCAAGTAAGAACAAAGGTCTGTGATGATGTCAAAACAAATGATGGAGCTGTCAGCCAACTCGGTTTACAATCAGATCGGGATCTTTGGAGAAACTCTGATGTGATGAAAAATATTTACTAATGTACAACGCCAGGCCACATTACAAAGTGCTCCACTTTACTCATGTATATCTTTCAGTTTCTTTACTATGTGTGGTTGTTAAAGAGTAGAAAATATATCCTCCTAAAAACTCTGTATGTGAAAGTTTTAGATCTGGAGCCTCAAACAGTACCCTGCACACAGTAAATAAGGGTAACATATGCAGTAGATTACATCACATACTGTGTGAAAAACAGAGGTGGGAAAAAAATGATTTCTGTAAAAATCGAGATTCTTATCTTCTGAATTATTCAAATAGTTTAATACCTTCCAAAAGTCGATTATTTTTTTTAATTTGGCTAATCAGTCAGTCACTCCCTGCTAAGTGCTAATGCTAGCTCTTTAAGTAGAATCAGTAAAGTGCAAAAAGAGCAGCAATAAATTCAGCCAGTCTCACAGATGACTGGAGTAGATCCTGAAGTATGGACTAATTCATAAATAGACTTTGAATCATGAATCCAGAATCATTTAGGATCGAAAATAGATTCTCAATTGAATTGTGACCCCAAGAATCAAAATCGAATCGAATCTTGAGACACCCAAAGATACCCAGCCCTAATGAAAAATGTATTCTTTTTTAAGTAACCACTGTGTAGTAGTGGTTGATGGATATACCAAATGGCTGAAAAACCTGTGACAGATAAATGATATCTGTGTGTATAATTTCAAACATTTGTCAACATCCAAACTTTTTTTAAAGAATCAAAACTGCAGAAAACTAATGTTGGGGTGATTTCGAAACGCTGCCATCAAGGTATAAAATCCATTAAAGCGGCTCTATCTCCAAAGTTTACAACGAATCTCTGACTCAGATGTGTTTGACCTTCTCCACGATGGTCCCTGGAGTCCAGCTTCAGGGCTCTGTCTGCTCGTCTCTCACAGAGGAAGAGCAGATGTATGTGTGTGTGTTCGACTGCGATGTAAATGTGCCACAGAATCATCTCAGCGCTCTCTTGATTTAACCGAACACAGAGTCTAATCAGTGAACGACTTTCTCTGCAGCCCGAGGACGCAGTGAACGGCCGATGAGCTGACAGCTGTCGGAGGG